GACCTTTCCTTCCACCAGCGCTTTCTGCAGCTTGTGTCTGCCTTCAGCGGGAGCTGAAAGGTCCTTCTTCCAAAGTGGCGGCAAATATACGCCTGAGGACCTACCATAAGCCAGTAAGCACGGCGAGCCCTGCAGGCAAGCGCACGCCGTATATGTCATGTTGCGACATACTCCCTGTTCTGGTTTTGTGCACCTTGCCTTGCCGCTGCTTTTGGAGAGATCGTAAGCATCGTCCACAAACGCAGCGGAAAATGTCGAAGCTTTTGGATTGGTGTATTATCCCAAGGGGTTTCTGAGCTGAAGTTGCTTCGGATGTGATGACTTTGCTCACTCTGCACACACAGTACTCGATCTATCTCGATCTCATACCTCAGCCGACTCAACCGAAGCTTTTGCAGGAACACATGTCATGGCCGTGCGGCATATCCTCAACACAGCTGCGCTGCCACAACAGATGTCAGCAAGTTGCAGTCGGAACACCCGTCAGCAGGGCTTTTTGCAAGGCACGGGCAGAAGCATGAGACTGGTTAGAACTTGCAAGCATATCGAAGCAAAGCCTAGAAACTCTCAGTCGTATAGGGTATGCCAGGATCAGGAACCCTAAACCCTAAACCCCTAAGGCCCCAAGCCATGAGAACTACATGCACCTCAACCCTAAACCCTAAACCCTAAACCCTACTTAGCTTGAATACAGCACACCATGTCATGTCCATGGCTTGCCGGACTCCGGTGTCTCAGGACCGGCTTTGGATTGAGAAGAGGCTCTAGCTCTCTGAACTCAACTCGCGCGTCTATCCCAGCTATGCCTGATGAAGGCGATGGTGCTGATGCTACTAATGACCGTGATGATGATGATGATGATGATGGCGATTGGGATTGGGATTGTGGTTGTGATTCAGGCTGCGGTAGTGTTGGTGTTGATGTTGGAGTTGGTGTTGGTGTTGGTGTTGACGTTGTCGTTGTGGTTGTGGTTGTGTTGGTTTTGGTGCTGGCGTTGACGTTGTCCATGTCGTTGTCGTTGTGGAGTGGGTTGTTGTGGCTGTTGCTGTTGCTGTTGCTGCTGTTGCTGCTGCTGTTGTTGTTGTTGTTGCTGCTGTTGCTGCTGCTGTTGTTGCTGTTGCTGCTGCTGTTGCTGTTGCTGTTGCTGTTGCTTCTGTTGTGGTTGTGGTTGTTGTTGCTGTTGCTGTTGCTGCTGTTGTTGTTGTTGTTGTTGCTGCAGTTGTTGCTGTTGCTGTTGCTGTAGCCGTAGCCCATACGGCTACGGATCAGACGGCCGCGCAGTTAGCGGGGGTTGTCGAACAGGCTCCGGGCTCCAACTTCTTTTCTAGAGGCTTCTACCGGGCCCTTTCCTAACCCCAAGGGTTGGTCCCAAGTTTCGAGCCATTCCTAATTGCTGGACCCAGTTACTGTTTACGGCAAGATTTCCCACTTGCGCGCAGTAGAGAGAGTCACTCCAGCTAGATGTTGTGGCGAAAACAGCGGATGGCGCTGCTTCCGGAGCACTCACAAAATTATTCACATATCAGAAAGAGGAAATTCAGGCATTTATGTCGCCAAGCCCTGTGCAGCAGTGTGCCAGTCTCTCGCGTAGGGCAGCTGATCACGCCGGACTTGGTCAAAAGATCTTGCGCAGGAGTTGTGCACCAGTCGCTGCAAGTCCTATCCTGGAACTTACTAAGCGAACAGCCGTGGACAGAGCTTACAGCAAGAATTCAAAGAGATGTCCTAGATGTCTGTGCGTTGTTGTCAATCAAGAAACCCACTGGACGTTTCTCGGCTTCGCCCGAGCCTCAGCTTGGAGCAAAGCCCGCAGCCGACCTGCACGGCAGGGGGGACCAAGGCCCGCCAACGATGCAGTAGGGGGACGAGGTCCACTGAACAAAACAGCAAGAGATTCTCACACCTGCGATTTTGCGGACTTCTTCAATTCTGCTAGCACTCTGTCAGCTTTGCTGGCGATGGGGTGCTTTCTAGTGATTCTAGCGGCATCTCAACCACCCCCTCCACCACCGGAGCCTGTGGTTACTCCCGACCCAGCAAGGAACCTCTGCCCAGAAACCGGAAGGCATCTGGGTACAGTCGCTAGGCGCACTGGAGGGCAGCAATTTACTTTTTCTGGAACGACACTGAAGCCGACATCTGCCTCTAGGGCGGGTGCTGGCCCATAATCACGGGCAAGATCTCTGGGTGCCTGCACGCGGGAAGGCCGGACCCCAAGTGGGCATGGGCCCGCCCGCGTCAAAGTGCAGGTCCAAGAGTGTTTTAGGCACTCGCCTTCCCCCACAAGATTTTGGCTCAGGCTCAATTCAGACTGGTTCCGGCCAACTGCCTAGCGGTTATTTCGGTTTTCTTGTTTTCTCGCTACTCTGGGACTCGGTCCAGCTACGTCGGCTTTGTGCCGGTTCTGGGTGCTTTCAGGCAAATACCATTCGGAATTGAGCCGAAGTCGGTTTAACCCAATAGTGAGTGCTTGGTGAGTAATACGCCCGCCAAGCGCAGAGCCCGCTCGTGCAGGGTCCAATTGAATTGACTTGAGTTGCTGTTGCTGTTGCGGTGACTGTGGCTGTGGCTGTGGCTGTGGCTGTGGCTGTGGCTGTGGCTGTGGCTGTGGCTGTGGCTGTGGCTGTGGCTGTGGCTGTGGCTGTGGCTGTGGTTGTGGTTGTGGTTGTCGTTGTTGTTGTGGTTGTCGTTGCCGTTGTGGTTTTGCACATCCATCTCAAGCCCCGTGCAGGAGGTGCGGCGATTGCGAGGCGCCGCAATGTTGATGTAGCCTGCAGTTTTTTCAAAAGCCGGCAGTTATGACCGCTGTTCATGAAAAACCCTGAGCCCAGGCGCAACTGGCGGAAGAAGCGAGCAGGAACTACATGAGCGGCGCTTCAACAGCTGGAGCCTCCGTCGGGTGAGTTTGCGGCGATATTCTATAATATTTTGTTGTAATTAACACAATATTTTGTTTGTTATAGGTTATACTAGATTACTAGACTATAGTCGAGTTTCAACAAGAGGCTTCCAATTGCTTCTGTTTCGGGAGTGTCTCAGAGTTACTTGGAGTCGAAGGTTTTTCCACTATCTTCCGAGAGCCTCGTTCCCTACACATGCTTACCGGACTGGGGCTGGCGCACGGGATTCTCGCATAGCTTCAAACTGGGCCCTCGGATTGTGTTGCCGGCGCCCCTGTGCCGGATGTGGGTTCAATCCTCGCGGGGCTCAGCTCGGGCTGTCAGACGAAGTTTCGTCCTCATGCTCACTGTAGGAAGCGCTCGGTCGCATTGCTCAGCACACTGTCCATAGAATTTCTCACACGTGCATCATTTGTCGAAGGCTCTTGAAATTATCGGATGCGAAAGCAGCAAGCCTTTTGTGTGTGATGTGTCGTAATGCTGTTGGTTACTCCTTTCAATGACGGGAAGCCTGACTGCAGCAAGGCGAGATAAGTGACAAGCAGGATGGGAATGACGTTCGCGCCTTACCTGCATCATATGCAATCCCCGGCAACCCAGCAAAGGCCGCTGACAGGAACTCTTAGCTGTGGCCTCGGACTCTGTTGTCGGAGTTATTGTTACCACTCTGAACCGGGACATGAATGTCAAAGTGCGGCAGTTGAAGCATCTGTCATGCTGGCGGTGGTACTAGTAGTCGTTCTAGGCCCAGTAGGCCCAACAGTTGAGGTCGTGTCCTTGTGGTCGTTGTAGTTGTTGCAGTTGTGTTGTAAGACATCGTCGTCCTAGCAGTAGCAGTAGCATTGGTATCGTTTTCAGCATCAGTATCCGCAGCAGTGTCCTCTTCAGCATCAGTAGCTCAGCAGCATTCTCGCCATTAGCAGCATCAGCAGCAGTAGCATCAGAATGTAACAGTTTAGCAGACATAGGCGCATTCATTTTGATGCAGAGAAGGGCTCCTTCACAGGGGCGTTTCTTGAAATGTCTTTTTTTCAATGTCGCAGCCACTGCATCCCAATGAAGCTTGAAAGGGCCTTGTACTTCTCACGCTGTGAAGATCCCTGTGAATGGCTACGGAGCAGTAGGCAGTTTGATGTGCAGATCCTTCGCCTTTGAGACCGTCACAGAGGGGAGCTCAGCCTCACAAACCTGGCTCCGGTCTCAGCTGAAGCATTTCTCCGTCTCCTTTCCTGTGAGTACGGTAATCTTTTCGATAGGCGTAAGTCGCGCATCCCACAAATGAGCTCAAGACGGCCCGATTCTCGAAGCACTTGAATCTCAGCCAGCCAGAGCCCGCAACTCGAGGCACATGGGAGGTTTCGGATCAGCGAAACCTCGATCGAACCACAGGAGGCTCAATTGCTAGCATGCAGGCCTCAGATCCCAAGTCTAAAACCTAGAGTGCGCATGCTTTTATGTGCCGTGTGCGAGGCTTGGACGTACCTTACTCTTGCACCTGACCACGAGCGAATTGTGAATCTCGACGCGCAAAGGTCACAGCGCTTCATGCCTTGGCGGCGCTGCGCTTCGCGGGTGAAGGTCGGTATCATATATTACATGTTACTTTTAAAACCACACATCAGATCTCATATCTCATACAAATACATTACGTGTATATATATATATATAGAAATATATAACTATATATATATATATGTGACATACATATATATATATATAAAATGTGCACGTGTATCATGTCTTATACATTTGTCGACATTAAATGCTGTATTGAATATTCTATTGTGTCATTTACAATCGTGGTTCATCCAGTTCAGGGCGCTTGGTGCGACCCCGAGGCCCCGAAGCGGCGCGCGGCCAGGAGCCCACGGTGGAGGTCGCAGGTCCCCGGTCGCTGGGGTTTAGTACATGTAGGGTTTAGAGTGACAGAGATTTGGGGCTTTTGGGGCTTGTTGCAGGTGTCAAGCCTGGGTAGTCAAAGAGTTGAGAGCCTCTTTGAGCTTTGCATTCTGGCCCATGTCTCTACTCACCTGGTCTTCTTCGCAAGATGCTTGGGCTCAAAATTGGCCCGGCATTACCTAAGAGGTGCGTTTCGTCGCAATGACGGAAGAAGCCGAAGCGTCCAATGCTACCCGAGATCGGCTCTTCGAGATTGTGCGAGATGGAGAATATGCAGAAGCCGAGAAAATTGTATCAGCAGCAGATATGTCATGGCGCCATACGGCTCTGCAACAGAATTTTCTGTTTTTTGTCGCAGCGCGACGCCGTCGAGGTTCGGAGCTATTGGCGAAGCAGTGCGTGGGAATGGGGGTGAATTTGGAGGAGGAAGACGTTCATGGACAGACACCTCTCTTCTGGGCCGCAGCGCGCGGCAGCATGCCGGTTGTGAAATTTCTGCTTAATCTTGGCTTTGAGATCAACTACAGAGATACTGCCAGGAAGACGGCTTTGTTTTTCGCAATCGAGAAGGGTTACCTGGACGTGGCGGATTACCTTATCGAACGTGCTGCTTCGATTTGGGTCCGGTGCAATAACAAGACGCCACACTCCATGCTTAAAGCATTGGGTCACAAGCCCCCTGAAAGAAAACGAAAACTAGCCTCGCCATCCCCGGCTTGCATATGTCCTGGCGCGGCAGCACGGAGCCGTTTCGCACAGTGGGAATGGGTTTACGACGAGATCGAGCCGCAGACAGACAGAAGGGAGGACAACGTGGTCGTGCAAACCCCGCAGTGTCTCAGTAGGCAACTTAGTATTATGGACATCAACTACCAAACGGGGGCACATTCTATAGTCACACGGTGTGATATGTATGCAGGTACTTTTCATGATTATGATCATTGTTGTTGCTCTGGAGGCACAGCCTGCAGTAACGTCTAAACAGTGCACTGTTTCAGCTTACCCGGACTGCAAGCATTCTGCGTTGATATAAGATTAGCTTCTTTGGGGTTGTGAGCAGGGCAACGAGGGTTTCATGTTTGTAGAGCGTTCTGGGTTGAATTGCAATTTCGCTTGATCTTTTGAACAACTGAGGTACTTTGTCTGCTCCACTGTGACAGACTGTTCGAAACGCCTCCGGCGCTCGGAGCTTGAGTTCGCGGGGGACCATGCACATCTCCACCAGGATGCGACGTGGTACCCCGACTTGACTACACAGCAAGCTGCTGAAATAGTCAATGTGTGCATGGATGACGAGAAAGAGCGTTTGAAAGTGATTGAGCAGTTAGCAAGTGGTTCTCGCCCATCTGCCTTCACGCTCCCAGCAGTCTCTACACAGACCAAAACCATGGCTGGGTACGTCCATGCATCTTTTGCAGACAAGACCTTGACGATTACCCACTGCAAAGTGGACAGACCTCATCAAGGAAGAGGAGTAGGAGGACTGCTGATCGAAGCTGCCGAGAAGCGCGCTCGGAATCTGGGTGCTTCCATCTCCAAAGTGAAGTTGCCTGTGTTGGAGACAAACGAATCCGCCCGAAAGTGCTATGCCAACAAGGTTTATGCCGAATCTTCATCCAGCTTTCCGCCGTGCAGCTGTCGTAATGATGACGCTTGCCACCATGATAAACTCAGGTGGCTGATGATGGAGAAAATCATCGCCGCTTCGCCNNCGCCTGAAAGCGTGGGCGTTCCCTGAAAACATGCTGCTTCATGGACGTGGCCAGGGGCAGTCCGGGTTAAGGGTGAGGCGTTGAGGGATTCAGGGTTCGGGCTTCCGGCTTTATTACGTTCTACACAACTTTGCCAGGCTTCGAGAGGAGCCGGGTGTCAATTGATAAGTCGTCGTCAGGTTCCGATATTGACAATTCTCACGAGAATGACAAAGAAGGAGACGATGATTATGATCACCACGATGACTCCATTTTCAACGGGGTTGACGATGATAAATGTATGGTAGCAGCTGGCATAGTAGCAACAGGATGAGTATACGAAGCGGTGATAGTGGCAGCTGGGCGTAGGCCTCCATTGTGGATGTGAAACAAAGTTTGGAATTCTCCCTGTCAGAAGACCATGGCAGGAGAAATGGAAGCACAGCAGTTACATTGCAACGCACCTGTCGATGACAGCTACGCTGTCACAGCAAGCACATGCATCTCTGGGGTGGTAATCCCGCTTCGTTTTCGTGACGGTCACGATGATCATGGTGACGATGGTGGTGGTCATCAGATTCATCATCACCATCACCATCATCTTCTTCATCATCTTCATCTTCATCATCATCATCGTCATTACCATTTCCATTATCATCATCAGCATGATCATATTCATCTTCATCATCAACATCATCACCGTCATCATCATCGCCATCACCTGAATCCTCACTACCATGACCAGCATAGCCGTCACAATCAACCACCACCACCACCAACAACAACAACAACAGCAACAGGAACAGCACCAACAACACCAACAAGAGCGCCATGGTTAACACCACCCACCACGACCATCTTCGCCATCATCATTTTCATCGTCATTATCGTCGTTATACATTATAACCATCATCACCAGCATCGTCCTAGCATTCCTTTCGTCTTCATGTTGAATTACTAGCCATCACAAATCAATCATCGATCAACGTCAATATCACAAGAAGATACAAGCGATGCAACAGGAGCTGAGCGGCCTGGTTCACAAAGAAGTCAGGCAAGGAATCCGGAAGGCTCCAACTGGAAGTGATCGGGTTCTCTCTGCAGGTCTTGAAGTTCAATACTGAGAGTTCCGAAAAAAGGGGCTCGCCCGTTGGTGATGCAGCGCTCAGATCATCTCAGATCAGGGTCATGCCTCTTGCATTCATTCCTACATTCTGCCTTCTATCTTAGCAAGCCGCAGACAGTACTGTTGTTCAGGTGTTCAGTTGTCTCGCAGGCAGTACCGAGTCCCGTGTCGCGGAGCTCGTGGACGAAGTGCCTGGCGGCCTAATGTTTCTGGAAGAGCAAGAACCCCGTCTATTGGATCATTCGTGCCACTACTGTCGTGAGTGATTGTATTCTACTGCCTCAGATTGCCGTGGTTACCATTACACTCGGTGGTTTTCTTACTGGCAGCAGGCGCAGCGAAGATGATCTTGGCGGTGGTACCACTCACTAGTATCAGACTCCAGGGATGAAGTGCTACTTGCTATGCATTTTGCTTCTAAACCCTAAACACTAAACCCTAAACCCCTAAACCCCTGCAACATAAACCCTAAACCGGTTCTAGCGACAACAGGAAGCTGGAACTGCATTCGTGTTGCCAAAGCCCTGACTCCTTATCTCCATAAGGCACATACCTTCCCCCCCTTTCCGCGAAAAAAAGCTGGTTTAGGGTTTAGGGTTTAGGGTTTAGGGTTTAGGGCATAACAGAGCCAGCAAGAGCTTACCTCAAGTCATTAAGCGGAGGTTGTTCTAATTCGGGCCAGTTTTTCCCCATATGGTAGCTTTCGTTACATACCGACCATCACCTCAACCCCCGGCCTGACTGAGTTTCTTTCGGGTTTAGGGTTTAGGGTTTAGAACTTTGGGTTTAGAGTTTAGGGTTTAGAGATGGATGCATCGCCACTGTTCTAAGAAGTCTAGAGCAGAAGGTCCCACGAGGGAAGCCTCACAGGTAGTGCTGTTGCTGCTGACGGTCACCACCAGTTATGGCAATGGGTGAAGGTCTCGGGGACGTATCAATACAAGAGGTTCGGACAGAAGGATCCGATCCAGCCTCAACTGTCAAACCCAAAGCTCCACTCTGACGCGGCCTTCTTTCATGAGGATCTTAACGCCTTCTCGACCCGTCAGGCAGCAGAGGCTATCGGAATCGCCGGAAGAGATTCGCCCGCGGCTTCCTGCCAACGCTGCCTTTGCCTTAGAATGCCGGCATGGAGCCACCGGAGGGGCGAATGCCATATAGGATGCTATTTCCTTGGAGTTTCTCCTAAACCCTAAACCCTAAACCATCCGGGAGGTTTGGGCATCAGAAGCAAGAGGATTGGAGCGAAGGGGTTGAGGGCTTCAAAGCCGCTTCGTTCTGCAGGTTCCGGGCCTGGGGTTTGCTGGAAGGGCACGCTTTGCTAGTAGTTGATACTGTCAAGGGACTACAGGAGGGACCCTTAAAGGGAACCTTGGGGTTAGGAGCTTTATGAGACTATACAAGGGGCAGAAAAACGGGTTATATAGGTTATTTGGATTAGGGGTCCCTTTTGGGGGTCCATCCTACTGTCCACTAGTACTGCTTGTTCTTAGTCCTTTGATGGCTGTTCGTGAACCTTCAAGTTGGGCTCTCTAGAATGATCAGCAGCCAGGACCCCGTCCCTAACTCCCAAATGCTGCTACCAATAAATCCCACCCAATCGGTTCGAATGACTTTGTGGAAGATACATGCCCACTGTAGTTCGTTGGTGGCGTCCTGTTTATGCACGTGATTTGTGATCGAGCTTATAGTACGGTCCATGTTCTATCATATACATATCAAGTTCGATGGTATGTACTGTCAAGACTATACGGAGCTTGTGAAAAGAAGAACATAATTTACACCGTAAAACACGTAGTGCCCGCTGAATTCTGTGGTTTCGTACATCGTGTGGTGCCACTCGAAGCAGGCGTGGGCTGCAGCCAAGTTGGTTCCAGCCGGATGCTCAGTCTCAGTGGCTTTCAGTTCGAGCCTGCTTTAGACTTCATGGCTGGGGGTTCGGAGTTAAGAGGTGGGTTTAGGGTTTAGGGTTTAAGGTTAAGTTCGACTCAGGATTCAAGACGGATGGATTGGCCTGAATCTGTTTCTGGCAGCTGCCGTTTGGCTTTGGGCTCTGCTCTTGCTTGCAATGCCCGATGTGCTTGATTGAATGTTTATCTGTGCTTAGCACATTACTGTGAAGGGTCGACGGTAATGATTGACCGGGCTGTTTGTCTATTTGCAAGGTAGCGGTAGTTGCTTTCCGAAGTGATTGAGCTTCTTAAGTCCAACCACAATGCTGGATTTCAAGCCAACCGCCGAGAAGCGTCAACAGAGCCATAAACTCACTAAGGCTAATAACAAGAATGATAATAATAACAGAATAATACTACAACTAATAATATTCAAAATACGAATGATAAGAAGAATATTGGTTAATAAATATCCCAATAGCAACAACAATAACGACACCACCAACAACAACAGTAACAACACCAACAACAGCAATAGCAATAGCAACAAAACATAAAGATACACATCAACGAATATAGCTAGATACATACCAAGCTAAGCAGTTCTGCAGCGCGGACAGGTTCGGAAGCCTCTTCTCGACACCATCGGAAGAACGCTCGAGGTCGCAGGCTCGCACTTTCTGGTTTTGGGGTTTAGGGTTTAGGTTCTTATGGGGCTTTGGTTTAGGGAAGGTTATTATTTGGGGTTTTGGGCTTCAGGGTTTTCAGGATGAAGGATTTTTAGGACCCCCTTTTTGGGAGTCTAGGACCAGGATTTGGTTCAAGGGGGGGTTTAGGGTTTAGGGTTTAGGGTTTAGGGTTTAGGGTTTAGGGTTTAGGGTTTAGGGGTTTCCGGTTCGGGGAGTCGGATGGACGACCTTACAGGCCCGAAGCACAGCAGAGACATCCGCTAGATGTTTTGGGACTGGAGCCTTGCATCCTACGCCTAAATCCGAAACCCTGCAGGTTTCGGAATCCCTTGGGTTGGGTGTTCAGGGTTTCAAAACCCTAAACTCCAAACCCTAAACTCCAAACCCGAAACTCTAAACCCTAAACTCTAAACCCCAAGCTCTAAAGCCTAAGCTCTAAACCCGAAACCCTAAAAGCGTCTCGGTCCATGGGGCAGTGATTTTCGGACCGAGGGTTCGGGATTTGGGTATCGGGTTCAGAGATGGGCTTCAGGAGCAAGTTCACCAGGCCCCGGCTCTAAAACTTAATATAGGGACCTCAATAATCACCTATATCAAATTGGGGGACTCCTTATTGTAATTATAGTATAATGGGCCCCAAAACCCTATTCCAATTACTAAGACCACTATATTAACCAACAAAACCCTCGCGACCCTTCTCAGCATAGGAGTACTATCGACAGGGATGGACATGGCATTATAGCCAGCGGCAGCCAGTGTATTCACGGCGTATTCACGGCGCGCCAACACTATATCCTCGAGGGTTCCTGTCATCGGTTTAAATTTTGACAGCCCTGGGTAATCACAGCCCTGCAGCAGTTGTATCAAAGTTGCATCAGTGCCATCAGCACGAAGAGCGACAACGAAACATCCTTTCGTGTATACTAGAAGTGTTATATCGAGCCCTCTACCTCAAGCCCTAAACCCTGCGTAGAACCCTCGCGACAGAGACTTTTTAGAGCTCCTTATAGAGCCCTTTCCTGAACCAACCCTTTATCGAACCCCCTTTCCCCTATGGAAGCTGGTTTTGCTTATAGAATCCGTCATAGAGCCTTTCTGGGTAGTTCTCTAAATCAAACCCTTTAGGGAACTACCCTTTCAAGAAGCTGTGCTCTTACAGGGCGCAGCCCACAGAGCTCGGCGAACATCGGATGAGCCTCCGCGGCCCGCACCTTCGCATCCACGAGGGTTGCAGGGTCAAGGATTTAGGGTGACCGGGGCTTTAGGGTTGGAGTGTAGGTCTTCGAGCATTTAGGAATTTAGGGTTTAGGATTTAGGGCCTTAGAGTTTCGAAGCTCTGG